CGGTCACGGTCACGGTCACGGCGGGCTGCCTGCCCGCATCCCGCTTGCTCTCCCCACACGGGCAGGTGGGTGGGCAGGCGTCAGGCTTCCCTCGGCTTTGAGGTAAGACAAATCTATCAGGCTCCATCACAGAGGAGAGGCCAAGCGCCTGCCTGGCGGATGAGAAGCAGCAAGTCCGAAAGACAACAAAAAGGGCAGCATGCAGAGACAGGCGGGAACGCCGTACAAGTGGCAGGATGTGAATGTTCAAGGGAAGGAGACGGGATTATTAACCCTGGGAATAGCTCTGAACAGGCACAGCTGGAAGCCGCCAGAGCGCAGGTTACAGGGCCCCCAAAACTTCAGGCTCCCGGGGGCACGGCCGCGTTATCCACAGCCCATCACAGATGCTTCTCAAGAGGACCCGAGTCATCAAAATCTCAAAAGCCAAAGTCAAGAAAAGCAGGGATGCAGAGTGTCCCGTATAGAAGAATTTCGATTAAACGGATTAAAACGAAGGGTGATTAAAGCTTTCGTTATTTTGAAAGCTGCCTTCCATCCCACATTACTCAGTACCCGCAACCCTGCTGTGCGAGGACCCCACAGAGCTTCTACTCCAGAAGTGGCTGGGGAGGGGGCTGGGTTTTCTTTCACTTAGAGCTTGGTGTCCCCTTCTCCTAAGAGACATTCACAAAGAGCAGGGAACATGTTCTCCTGCTGGGAGAGGGACCAGCCCCCCCCCCACCAGGCGCCCACCACCGTCCCTCACCATCTCTGCGCTGGGCCCACCCAGAAAGCAAGGGGTGGGGGTGGCGGCGTCCTGGGCAGTAACCACGTGACTCACCGAGTGTCCCCAACCTGGTGGGTGTGGCCACATCTCCTCCAGGCTCACCCGCAGCCACGGACTCCTGCCGCAGCTCCTGTCCCTGTCCCTCCATCCATTCCTTCTTTTTTCTTACATTTAGTAAATTAAATTTAAATTTACTACTGACTGAACTTTTACTAGAAGTATGCATGCACATAAAGAGCCCAACAGTTGTCACCGATCTCCCTTCTCCAGAAGCAGTTACTCAACCCTGTTAGCTGAGTTTTTTGCTTCCTTTTTTAGCATTTGTGTCTGTATTTCTAAGTAACACACATCTATTGTTTAGTTAGATTTTTTTCTCAAGCATCCGCCATATAAAGGAGGAGAATTTTGCTCATTTTAACCTCCCCACTGTGAGGACATGTGGAGTGCCTTGGCCACCTGGGGTCTAACTGCTTCTGAATCCAGCTTTTGGTCAGTTCTCCTCTTTTATGCCCACCGTTACCCCTGCTCCCAGAGGCACCTGGTGCCACCAAGCCCTGAGCTGGGGGCGGTGGTCTCCACCTACCTGCCTGTCGCCCCTCCCCCAGCCCTGCCCTCTGCCAGCTTCAGGCCCAGCTTGCTCAAGTCAGCTAAGTCGATTCTCCCTTCATCAGCTGTCTCTCAGTTTTCAAAATGTTGTTGTCCCCATTTTCTTTGTTTTTCTAAGTTTAAAAAAAACCCACCCCTACTGTCATTTTAATGAGGCTCGGAAGGGAGTGGAGATTAAATGCATGTGTTAATTCTTGGACAGGATCTAGGTCATTGATTTCTTTTTTTCCTTTCTAGAAAACAAATGATTTTCCACTTAAATCCACCCAATAAAAACATCCAGTCGCTGAAGCAAAGCGGTAGTTCTGGTTTTATGAAACAGACCGGTTTGGGGACTTTTTAAGGAAATCAGCATTCAAATATAGGCTTTCATTTTTCGGCCATTGAAAGAGAAGAAATAGAGAGATGTCAGAAAGTGGAAACGATGTTTCCTCTGGAAGAATCTGGCAAATCTTTTATCAGCTTCTATAAACTAGCTTAAAGGAAACTGTGAACTTCTACGGTGCTTCTCCCGTGGGAGACTCCGGTCCTGCTCCCCGCATGTGTTCCTTACACATCACCCACTGGGCTGTTTCCTGGAAGAGCAGCACTTGTGAGGTCCAGGGGGACATGTGCTCCTGAGTTAACCTGGACCGCTCCTGCACGGCCCTGCCACCTGTCACTCCTCTGTGCTCCTCACTCCCCACATCCCTCCTGCACGAGTGACACATTTACCATCCCTGTCTCAGGTACCACCAACCTCTTGCTCTGGCTCCTCCTTCATGCCCCCACCCCCACCCCCAGAGCTGACCTTCCCCCTCATCCACCTTCTCAAAGGAAAGCATTTCCCCCCCCAGAATCCCTCTAAATGTCCAGCCACCTGTATTATCTCAGAATTGGGGTCCTGCCCCCTCTCTAAGGTCTGGTGTTTCCCGACCGCACTTGAGATGCCCGCCCTCCTCCCTTCCTCCCTCCTCTATTTGGGTCTCATCTTTTAACGTCTTCCTTTCACTGGCTCTTTCATAATCCTAGAACCATGGTTTTTTCCTTTAGGATTTCCCTTTAATCCTCCAACCTTCTGAGCCACCTTATTCTTTTCCTGAAAGACTGGGCCATGCAGGCCGCTGCCACTGCCCACGGTCTGCTTGTTCCACTGCCCTGCTCTCTCCAGGTCCCTCTGGGTCCCGGTCCCTGTGGGTCACTGCCTGCTGGGCCTGCAGGTTCCTGGCCTACCTCATGGGTCCTTACTTTGCAGTGTCCCCCACTATCCCCGCCCTCACTCCCTCTCTCCCCAATAAGTGGGGAGCATCAGCAGACACACTTCTGGCTCAAAAAAAAAAAATCAGTTACGTAGCTGGGAGTCCAAACCTGTCCAAACTGGGGCACTTTTCAACCTGTGCCTGGATGTGGGGGTGTGACTCCCGGTTTTCACTCAATTATTTAAGTGAAGGTTTATCTACTCAGAGGAGAAATTTGTGTTTGAAAGTTTGCAAGACTTCTAAAATAATCCTTTCTTCTAGGCTTTCTTTTGTGGTGACAAGATGAAAGATGCTGTGAGCATCTTACTTATCAAAGTCAAATCTCATGCGAATGTTTTTGAGCCCAATACAAATTAGCAACTCTTCGTATGACTAAGAACTCTGCACCTTACGATAACTGTAAACACGCGAAGCAGAGATCAAGGGGGATCTAAAATAAGCACCTGCCACCGAAGGGCAGTGTGGGCAGGCGACAGTCATTGCGAAACCGAGAGAGAATAGGTGTGTGCTTCTGAAGGTCTTTAAACCCAGAGCAACGCGGACCATTTCTCAGGGGTGGTCCCCCACCTCTCCCAGCAAAATCCTTAACAGACAAGACTCTTCAGCCTTTTCAATACAAGCAAATCTACCCCTTCCTGAAATCAAGCAGGAAAGCAACACAAAAGCGCGTGAGGCCAGGCATGATCAAATTTCCTAAACCAACGAAGCTGGAAAGAACTGATCATAACTCAAGTTATGTTAAATTAATACACAGTTCTGGTTTTCCAAGAAATGTGGTTTCAAATTCTAGTAGTCCACAATTCTCATAGCAATCAATACATGCGTTGAATAGAATCTAACACATAAAGAAGAGGACAGACTGGCAGAGAGGAGGGAAGGGGAGGTCCCACCAGAGGCACAGCCTATGAAAATCCATGCAGAAGCATACAGGATGGGGAGGGCAGCCCGGGACCAGGCTGGGCGAGCACCCGCATGTCCTCGGCTTTCTCGCTGCTCCCACGACTGTCCTCTGCACACAGCTACTGTCGTCCTCACCTTAGAGCCCCACTTCTCCCCCTTCCACGAAAAAACCAGGGGCTCCCCATCACCTCGCAAACCGACTTCAGGCTCCTGAGTAGCACACAGTAGGTACTCAATGCATCTGACTGTGCGTGGTCACTTTCATGTGCCCTGTTTGATTTGAACATTCCAGAAGGCAAAACCCAATCTTGCTTTGTTTGCAAAATTTTGGTTTATAAGAGCTCTCACAAGCACTTTCTGCAGAGTAAGTTCAAAACATTTATATTAAATAAATGAACAGATTCTTTAAGTAATTTTTTTTATATAATATTGGCAAAATGGGTGAGCCCGTCGGCCGAGACCCTTGCACGGGAAGTTAGAGGCTGAAAGACTTGCTAAGCTATTCAGTAATCTTGTGCAGGGCAGTGACGTGATAGAAACGGTACTTGGAGTAACTTGCTTCAGTCATGGTTTTAAGTCCAGAAAGGACTGGAAGTAGAAAGAATACTTTGCTAACAATGTTTTGCTAACAAGATGAGAAAACAAGATGAGGGTTTTTATCTGTGGATTAGTCACTAATGTGTATATTCTGCAATACACACCAAAGGAGAAAACCAGCCCATGTATCTTTGCTTTTCATCTATTTTAAACGAGTTCATTTCTGAGATAAGAGATGACTCTTTTTTTAAGGTGAGGTAACAGTTATAGTTTCAATTTTAAAGAACAGCAACCAAAACTTAGAAATTTAAGGACAGATATTCTCATTTATGAATTACAAATATTCTCCACACTAGGATCTTCCAAACTGACACTCAAACAAAATCTGAAAACTGAAAGAACTCCATCTCGCCTACTTGTATTACACTGCAGAACACTTGACTTCTTTTTTTATCACAACTGAAATTAATTAAACGGTTGTTCGCAGAAGGAGAATTTTATAATCTCGTGTAACATTTGGATGTTAAATGAATGAACTCATCAGCATTTGAAAATGCCAGTGCATTCAAAATCGCAGGAGGCTGTAACCGGTGGTCACTCTCCTTTCTAAGACTATGCAGTTTTTTTCTCCACCCAGGCCCCACCTCTCCTACCAGGTGCTAGAAAGTCGTCACAGGTCACACGGAGGAAGAAGTCCAGGCAAAGGGTTTCAGTCGAGGCTGCACGTTAGAAACGCTGGGAACTCTTAACAGCTGTGAATTCTTAAGCCACAGCCTGGACCACGTCAATATATTTTAAAGCATCCCCTCCAACCGGGGTGGGGGGCCTGCGATCCAGGCCTGAGACATGTCATAGCTGATGTTCTTGACAGAGAACCAAAAACATGAAACAGTTCAGGGGGACATGATATGATGCTGCTAAGTAAAGAAAAGCAACGAGCTGTCACTTACCCGCCTTCTGACAGTGTACGATCTTCTCATACACGGCGTCCGCATTTTCGATCAATGCCTTGAGGGACTGGATCATCTGCAAAGGAAACATCCAGACACGAGGTCACGCCCGACAGCAGGACCCGGGGGTCTGTGCTTGTGCCCGAGGCTCTTCCCTGAACACGGAGGACGGACGCGGCAACCAGGCCCCTCGCCTGACGCCCCACTACTCAAGTTCAAACGCCAATGGTGAAGTCACGCCTCCCAGCGCAACGGCTTAAATGGGGCTGTGAGGAGTGAGTCCCAGGTGTAGTGGGGCTTGTACAACACCGGATCGGAACCCGGCCGCTACTGAGCGGAGTTCCTTTCCATGGGACAAGCTGCCCGTAAGAACGTGCACACCTCGGATCTCGCCATCGTCTTAACAGAACCTCCCGCTTCACCAAGGGTCACGCGCCTACACACCTCGCTCCCTGAAGCCACGACGCCTTCGCCTGAACATCAGTCTAAAACCTCCCACGAGGATCAGAGAACTGCGTCGATTTGACGCATCACAAATGATCGCACTCAGACTAAGGTTTTTAACGTTCCTGTCAGTGATTTTAAAACAGTCAGTTTTGAGTTCCTGTTCCAAGTTGCAATGTGCTTGTTTTAAGGGCCAAACCTTGAATAAGGAAAAGGATCGGGGCACGGCTGACCAACTATTTCACTCACTAAAATGTTGGGAAAAGATCTGTCTGAAGAAATCTTTTGGCTCTGAAATGACAAGGAAAATAGGACAAAAAGACTCAGTCTCGTGGCTCAAATAGGTACAACCAGGACGCCGGCCTTAAGTGCAGACTGTAGCTTTTTGTATTTAAATGTTCAAACCCTTAACACTGTATTATTACTCATCTATCTTACATGACCATCCTGTTTTCAATGACAAATACCGATCCTCCATTCTCCATCCCTTTAAATTCTGCCTTCTTTTGCTTTATAGTGTTAACTGCCATAGTAATGATTCTATAGAAATTAAATAAAGTTAGGGTGGGTTATTTATATAACTCAAAGAACACCATATTTTATTAGTTATTCTTATTTAAAATAAAGTACAATCCCCACGCCTCCTAAGCACACCAGAGCCTTAAAGTGAGTCACACGGCATTTATCCACTTCCACTGTTCTAAGAAAATTATAGTAAACACTGTGAGGTTTGAAGCCCAGAGCCAGTGTTCACTTCTGCCTTCATTCATTATTCACAGAAGACCCTACAGGCAGCCCCTGATAGGAACGGGGGACATACTGACCCACGGGACTACAGCCCTGTCTTCAAGAAGTCCACAGCCCAGTGTCAGGGCTCACACCCCAGGATTCTGCATATTCATTCTTCAAACTGAGTCATCCCTATAAAATTAAAATATTCTACTTCACAGCTTGACATACTGAACAGGCAGCGATAAAAATGAATAGTTAAGAACTCAGTAATGCCGATATAAAGTCATTTGTCCCATCATGCAATCTGCATACTGAAAAGGTTCACGCTGTCATCAGCAACCTTTTCCAGCTTTGATGTCAAGCCAAATAGGAGACAGGAAGAAACAAGGACTTCTTCCAGCAAGGATGGTGCCTGTCACAGCTCAGCATCACGAAACCGCTCAACCGTGCCTCCATCATTCAAACAGGGAAAGAAAGAGCAAGGAGATGAACCTGGTCACGAAGCCACCAGGCAGGACAGGAGCAGCAGCAGAAGGGGTATGAGAGGACGACACTGAGCACCGGCTCACGCAGACAACCTGCGCGGGACAGTGTCCAGACGGACTCACGCTGCAGGTGGTGCAGGGGTGGAATGAGAGCCGATTTACATGGCTTCCTTAACTCCGTCCTCTAAGGTGAGATATTAAACGTCATGGAGCCACGATCTCCCACTTGTAAACTGAGTTTCATACAAGACCCTGCCCTCCTAGTGCTGGGGGCTTAGAGGAGAGGGTGCAGGTGGCTGGAACTTGCCAGAGATGTCGCGGTGGACTCCCCCCGACCCGGGGGCCTGGCTGAGCACCTTCTGGAAGCCCAGAATTAGCTGAATGAGGATGCCTTCGTACGCTTGCTGGCACCATTTCACACACCCGTTACTGATACTACTTTTACTTGAAAAGCCTGGCGTGACAAAGCTCAGAGGGACAGCCGATCGCACTGTTTTCTTAGAATCATCTTCCAGCTCAAGGTATCGCCAAAGGCTAAACAGCGCTGCACCGAGGAACTGTCAGACACGCCAGGCTTAAGAAATGCACGTGCATCTCCAGGGTCAGGAGGGGACGCCCACCTGCCCCCCGTGCTCGGTCCTACCCGGGGGACCAGTCCTTTATTCTGGGGACCATCCTGCATGAGGCTCTGAGTGTGGGACCCTGAGCTTGGGGCTGAGAACGCGTGAAGGACAGAAAGACCCGGGTCCACCAGCAAACAGCAATACAGTGGAATTAGCAGGCCACCGCTGCCCACATACATGCTCCTGGAGGGGACGAAGCTGGGGCAGGGTGGTGGGAGGGTTCACGCTCCGCCTGCGGCTGGGACCTCGGCACACAGGTCTTCTCCCCGTAATGCGGGGGAGGCGCCCCCTGCCTAAAAGAAACACCCCTGGGAGTGAAGAGCAGCAGCATCCACAGAGCGCGCCGGAGGGGACTCCAGAAGCACCAGCCTAGGAGGAGGCGGGCACGCGGCAGACCCATCAGCGACACTCCAGCAAGGCGGGGAGAAAACACACCCAGACCTCGTGGGCACGATGCACTCTGTCAATGAATGTTTTCACCACTGCCTTTGCGAGGAGGAACTGCCAGTTTCTATCTTTCTACAGTTGCAGGGTACATATTTATAACGAAGTTACTCTATGGTAACCCACTGACAGCTCATGTTCATACCGTGAGTTCATCAACCCTCGGCTCTTGCGGTATTTGCCTGAGTTCTCGTCCAGGTGTTCTTCTGGGACCTCTCTGGACCGTGAGATGCTGTGAGTGCTCTGGTTAAAGGTGCAGCAGGTCGAGAGGGCAGGGCTGCCCCCGGCCTCCCTGCCCGCCGGCCGTCTTGTTCTCAGCCAGCCAACAGTGATGACAGTGCCACTGGGGACACAGCAGGGACAACACGGGGCTGCATCGGATCTGGGGGTGGGTGGACTCTCTGGCTGGGTCGGCTGCTTTATAACGAGATGCGACTATAAATAGCGCAAGTGTTGGGTGAATGAGTCAAAACGTAAGTAATTCAGCGCCTCCTCGGCACCAGGTACGTGCTTGGCGTTCTCTGTTTCCCTTAATGCTCGCCAGGTCTGTGCGGGCCGCGTGTTTGTGGTGCTGGTTTCATAGATGTGAACACTGAGGACCTGAAAGTGGAGCCGCTTTCCCAAGGTCACCAGGAGTTACGGGCAAAGGGCTGTGATAATGAACAGTGGAGCTGGTATCCGTCTGACTCACAGTCACCGCTGTTTCCACGACACCACGATGGGTCTTGACACACGAGAGGCAGCAACGGCGCGGAGGAGGCGAGGACAGCACATTCCTACCAGAAGCGTGGGCGGGAGCAGAGGAGACTTTCCCGGCTCCTGCCACGAACCACACACAGCACGTGGCATCCTGTCCACTCCTGACATGGGCCCAGAAGGGTGTCTGTAAATAATATTTCTATAAAGCACTCTGGGAAAACATTTTTCTAAAATGACAACAACAGACCATTCACTTGGCTCCACTTAACAATTCATTTACTCAAAACCAGAAGCCATTTAATATTTAATGTGAAACTTCTAGAAAAAGCATCCGAGACTAGCCAAAGCAGACACGTGGGGAGAGACATCAGGAGATGAGTCAAAAGGAAAAAGGACTTTAAGTTATCTTACTTTCTTAGTTAAAATGTCAGTATAACGCAAGGTCCAGTAAAGTGGCCGGTTTTGTAAGCGTTATCTGCATTAATGCAAATGCATTAGACGCAGTCCCTTTAGAGGCACAGGTGTGCATCTCAGCACTGCAATCAGATATCATGCTGCCGGTGGTAGTAACTCACCACGTGGGACCTCACATTGTTTACGAAGTAAAAGACGCTTCAATGTATTTGTTAGTGGACTTCGTATTAGTGTCCAGTTACCAGTACCTCCTAAATTTCTGCAACTCATGCACTAGGAAAACCTAGAGATTTAACATAGCCCAGAAGTCCATTTCATAAATTTGATCAATTTTAATACAAGGTTTTAATACACGACTCAAGCAGGTGAAAAGAAGAAATTAATATTCACATGTTACTAAGCTGGAGAGAAACCAGAAGTGCCTTTCCTAAGAACGCTCTGTTTTGAAAGTCACGCCCCCTATTAGTATAAGGCCAACTTCCCTGTTTATAGATGTGGTTAGGAGAACTATCACTATGTTAATGTATTTTATTTTACTAGATTTCTGTAGACCATGTCTTTATTTTCTGTTTTGAAACTTGCACATCAAGTGGGAAGATTCTGTTTTCAGAATAAGCAAGTCTGTGGTTTTACGGGAGGATCTCAGGTCTGGTTTTGGACAGTACCCCAAATTCCCTGTCACCCCAGGGACACAGATTTTGATCATCACAAAAGTAATTTGCTAATAATGTTAAGTCCCTGGGTGATGGATGCTTAATGATAACCATAATAGCATCTTCTGAGTTCCAGATTTCTTCCCCTTTATCATGCTTTGTCCCTCAGCTTCAGGCAGAAAAGGCCTCCCCCTGCGTTCCTCCTTCTCCCGACCCCATCTTCACACCCGGATGCGGCTGGGGCTTGGGCTGTGGCTGCTTCTAATGAAGTTACGGAGTCTGAGAAGTGCTAAGGTTGTCATAAAAGAGGGTGCCTAGACAGCAAAAAAGGTTTCCCTTTTACAGATTCTGTGACTGTGGGACACCTAACAGGTAAACATCTTCCCAAACTCAAATAGTTGGGCAGCATTCTCAAACTTGCCAGTGGACTCATAAAAATGATACACGCCCCCCACCCCATCCTGCCATGAACACCCTGGAGCTCCAAAGTCAGTGGATGCCCAGGTGGCAGGTGTGACTCAGGGAAGATGCTGGGAGGACCAGACCACAGCAGGACGTGCCTCTCAGGACCCTAGGGGTTGA